GGACTTTCAACCGATCGGCACCCAGGGCCTTTGCATATTTTAAACCAGCAATGAGGGCCTCATATTCAGCCTCATTGTGTGTTACCTTGAAGTCAAAGTGGATGGAATTATATGCTTTGAAACCCTCGGGCGATGTGATCACAGCTCCAGCTCCACAACCCTTGGCACTAGCTGCTCCATCCACATACATTTCCCACCAGTTATCCAGCAAATTGTTCTCTAAGTCTGTTTCTGAGGGCCGGGCGGTACATTCTGCAATGAAATCTGTCAGGGCCTGTCCTTTGATAGTAGGTCGAGGCTTGAAATCCACCTCATATTGCCCGATCAGGAGGCTCCACTTGGTAATGCGTCCACTTGCCATAGGATTTCTCAAGATTGTGGCTAGTGGCTGAGTAGTATACACAATTACCGGGTGAGTCTGGAAATATGGTGCCAGACGTTTAATGGCAGCTATCAGGGCCAGTACAGTTTTCTCTAGCAAGGTGTACCTGGTTTCCGAGCCGTTCAAAGCCTTGCTTAAAAAATAGATTGGTCGTTGAACGCCATCTTCTTCTTTCAACAGTACTGTGCTCACGGCCAGGTCAGCTATAGCAAGGTACATATACAGATGTTCCCCTGGTTCGGGTTTTGTCAAGACCAGGGGGAAGACAGACACGTCTTGAAATCTTCAAAGGCCGTTTGGCATTCGACCGTCCATTCAAAGGGGTTGGCTTTCTTCATGATCTGGAAGAACGGAATAGCTCGATCGGCCTGTTTGGATAGGAATCTGCTCAGGGCTGCTAACCGGCCGGTCAATCTCTGCACTTCTTTGAGATTTCTTGGAGCCTCCATATCCAAAATTGCCTTTACTTTTTCAGGATTGGGCTCAATCCCCTTCTCGCTCATCATGTATCCCAAAAATTTGCCCCCTCTTACAGCAAAAGCACAGTTTTTGGGATTCAGCCTCATATTTGTTTTCTTCATTATCCCGAACACCTTTTCTATGTCCAGGACATGGTTTTCCTTCTTCCTGCTTTTGATCAGGATGTCATCAACATAAGCTTCCATTGTGACCCCCATCACTTCTTTGAACAGCATCCCGATCATCCTTTGAAAAGTTGCCATTGTGTTCTTTAATCCGAATGGCATGACGATATAGCAAAACACACCATCCGAAGTAACGAACGCTGTTTTCTCTGCATCAGCCGGGTGCATGAATATCTGATGGTAACCCCGGAAAGCATCCATGAAGCTCAGCAATTCACATCCAGCAGTTTCATCTACTAGCAGATCGATCCTCGACACTGGATAGGGATCCATGGGGCAAGCTTTATTCAGGTCCGAGTAATCCACACACATTCTCCAAGTAGATTGTTTTGGGGCTAGAACCACATTGGATAGCCATTCTACGTGGATTACCGGACGGATGTGCTTTATCCTTAGCAAGGTGGCCACCTCCTTCTTTGTGAATTCCCGCCGTTCGGTTGCTTGATACCGTTTCTTCTGCTGGACTGGTTTTGCATCAGGCCGAACGGCAAGTTTGTGACATATTATCTCCGGATCAATACCGGGCATATCTTCTGGCCCCCGGGCAAACAGTACCTGAAACTTTTTTAGGACGGCAATCACGCCATCCCGGATGTCAGCCTCCAGATCTACCCCGATAGCTACCTTACGATTCGGGGGGAATCCAGGTCGATTTGTTCAAGAAGAGTGGCGGGCTCTGGGTGTGCCTCGAACTCCGTTCGGTGCGTTTCCACCTCAATTGTATTAACTCGCATCCCACGAGTGTTCATCTGTTTCAGGGCCTCTCGATAACATGTCTGGGCTGTCGTCGGATCAGTTCTGGCCACCCCAACCCCAGTGTCTGTAGGGAATTGGATGCATGAGTGGCGAACAGAGGCTATTACCTCCAGATCTTCCAATCCCGGTCGGCCCAATATGGCATTGTGGGCACACTTTATATCCACCACCACGAACGTCATTCGGAGTGACGCTTTGTGTGTTTCATCCCCAATTTCAACCATCAATTGGATGGTCCCCTCAGTCTCAATGCAATTACCGGTGAAACTTGCCAGTGGGGTCCGTAGGTGGGTCAGTTGACTTCTTTGTAGACCCATTTTTTCGAATGATTGTAGATACAATACATTCACACTGCTCCCGGTATCGATCAGCACTCGGCGGATCAAAGCATTGTCAATGCACATGCTCACCACCAGTTCATCCCTGTGCGGGCTTGGAGAGTTGGGTAAATCAGCTGGCCCGAAAGTGATCGGGTCCGTCCTTCCTTTCTTCTCGGGGGAGCGGAGATGGATCCCACATAAAGACTTCGCTCGAACCTTTTCCGTTCGGCGTTCGAATCCCCTGTCTCCCCGCCCCCGAATATAACCTTGACCTCCATTCGAGGTTTCTTTCCAGGGCCTCCCGAGCCCTCTGGTTCATCCCTGGGGGGAACATATACGTCATTTTGAGGCTGGGCATCACGTTGGGCATCCCGGCGCCAGCTATTAGGTTTCCTGATCGGTTTCAACGTGCCTACAGCATTTGGATCTTTATTCACATACTTGCCCAGATGACCCCTTCGGATCAAATCCTCAATGGCTGTTTGTAGGGCCCTGCAAGCATTAGTGGCATGACCCTTCCTGTTGTGATATTTACAGAAAGCAGAGTCATCCGCTCCCATAAATTGTCCAGAATCAGTCGGGAGGGGAATATTGTCCCTCTCGTGCTGATAAATGGTCGCTACTGATAGGACCATGGGAGTAAATCTCCCTTGCTTGGGAGGTATAGCGGCCGTTGGGCTAGGACCCAGCCGATCGGCCATTCTGATCGGGGCAGCAGGCGTAATGACCTTATCCCTGATCATTATCTCCTCTTCTAGGGCGGCATGCTTGCGAGCCCTGTCTAATACCTCGGCGTACACCGTACCCGGATTTTTCTTTAACTCCTTGTACAACTCCCCCGTTCGGAGAGCATTCGTGAATAGGGTAATGGCGGTATCATCCGTCATGTTTCCCACCGTTAAAGTTTCATCCCTCCATCTTTTCAGAAATTGATTGAGGGTCTCTTTGGCATTTTGCTTCACGCTGGTCAAATAGCTGAAGTGCCGTTTGGGATTGGCACTGGAAGCAAACTGGGCCAAGAATAACGCCGATAACTCGGCAAAGCTGTTGATTGATCCGGGCTGCAGTGTCCCGAACCACTCCTGGGCGGGCCCCTGAGCGTACTAAAAAACAACCGGCAAATAGCGGCCTCGGGTGCTCCTAGCAGCATGAGTCCCCCTTGGTAACTCCTCAAATGCACATGGGGATCTCCCACCCCGTCATAGATTTGGCCGGTCGGTGGCTTGGCACCCCCTTGGATGTCTGCGTACATGAGTTCCCTAGTAAAAGGGGAAGTAATTCCCAGCTGAACTGGGGCAGGTTGTACAGGTGCCCTGTTCATTTGATCCCGCATCTCATTCATCTGCCTCCTCATCTCGGCCATTTCTTCCTCCTGGGCCATCAAAGGGGGCGGTGGTGGAGTCCTCATGTCCGTATAGTCCCGGTCCCAATGCCGTTGAGGGGCCCTGGTATTCTCCCGCTCGGCATTCTGGAAATGATGACCAATGGGAGTTGGTCCTCTAGCTTGTGACCCGATCGGGGTTCGGTCACTGGGACTATGGTGCGCTGTTGGTGGGGCGCTACGTCGATTATCCCGATGGGCATGCGAACGGGATGATGCCGTGGTTGGACCCTCCTTCCTCCTCGTGGAGTCTCCCCTGTAAAGTTGGAATTTAACACTAGTATTTTCCATGCGTGGAGTCTCCCCTGTAAAGTTGGACCCTCCTTCCTCCTCGTTCGCCATATGCTGCATGACCTGGGCCATGTCCCTCATGGCCTGAGGATTTCTTCTCAGAGATTCGGGAATCACAAAATCCCCATCAAAACGAGGATACGATCCTCGACTGGATTGTCCCTGAGGGTTTTGACTCCCCGAGGTGTGACTCCTTCCGTGACGGCGTGAACCGTCGTTTGTATGATAGGAACTGATTCTGACCATTTTTGAAAATAGTGGTTTTTTGGATGATTTGAATGTGAAACTTTTTGTAAGTTTCCCACAGACGACGCCAATGTTGAGGGTAAATCCCGTAGATCCGAAAGCCCAACACGAACTTTGGATATATCAGGAATGGCTCAGAATCAAAGTGTATAAAAAATATAAGATCTGAACTCACTAATACTCGAAAGCTCACTTGTATTAACTAACCAGTCTGATTACAAGGAATTTCCCGATCGGTAGGTCGGAAACAATGCTTTAATACAAGAAATAAGAGCAATGATGCTATACTAGAGCCTGAGTATTGAAAATGCTAACCCTTACAATGACTTAAAACCTTCTATTTATACTAATGGAGAGCATGGACTGCCCTATGCTGATTGGCCGTTGTTCCACCGACTTGGTCACCCATGTTTCCAGTTGCTGATGTCACAATCTAGCATTAATTGCACCTGGCCACTTGCCGGTTGGCCGTTGCTCGAACGGGATGTTGGGCTATGCTGAAGATGCTGTCAAATTGGCCCTAGTATAACATATAGTCCGAACTCCGTTCGGTATGTCTTCTTACTGGGCCAACCCTTATTTGGGCCGAATCTCGTTCGGCATGAATTCTACCTTGATTATCTTATCATAGGGTGACGGACTCGTTGCTTGGGCCGGGTATCTTGGGCCTTCTTGATCCGAGTATTGGGCCTCTGGATCAATATCCCAACAGTCTTATTAGTGTGATTTTCAAAAAATACAATAAATACTAGTGTTAAATTCCAACTAGATATGTTAATAATGAAAAAGGTAAGGTAAGAGAAGTTTTTATTTAATTCTTTAATAAATAACCTATATTTGCATTATGATTTATTTTCATAATCCAAAAGTTTAAGCAAATTCAGCCATTCAGTTATAACTTATAACTTCAACAATTCAGTTATTTATTCTTACTAAAAGCCTCTAGAGTTCAATTGTAATTTTTAGAAGAATCAGTTGGTAATACCCAAAAGGTTTCTAATACAAGCGATTTACATCACATTCACACGGGCATTTCATAGTCAGTCCAAGGAAAAAAGAGTTTCCTTTATGTCATTTATGGAATTCAATAATCAATAATACAAGTGAGATCCATACATAGTTTTTTTGTTCAAAGAATTAACATCAGCCTATTAAGCAGGGTAAGTCTTTCTCTATACATACTACGGAGTAAATGCAAGCCAACTGTCTAAAAAAGCGGTGACTGGCCATACTTGGAGTTGGCAGCAGCCAAGAGAGCAGCACCAATACCAGACCCATCTTTGGAATGTTCAATCACCACATTCTTTGAGATCCCTACTCCCAGGAGCTCAGTCACGGCTTCTTGGAGATAGCCTCTGTACTGCGGATAGTTCTCATACAACCCTCCATCCATGGCTACAACAATTCTCTTCCCGAACACGCGACCCTTACAATCCTCTTCCATCTTCTCTAGAATCCCTACAATTCCTGCACCCGCCAGGCGTCCCCCACGCTTTGCAATGGCATCGCACACCCCAACTACTGTCCTCCTTGCACTTGCATCAGAATTCACCTTTTTACACACACACACACATATCATTCATTATCATAAGTCATAAGTCCCTTCTCTAAGGTAAAGCAAGCTGATTTCATAGTGTTTGGTAATAATTAACTATGATGCAGCTTAAAAAAAATACAGGACATAAACGTGTGTGTTTAAACTTTAATACGACTTTTATGGGAGTAAAAATAGAATTATAAACCAAAAAAATCTTAACTTTTTTTGAAGTTGCACCAACTCCATGAAGCATATTAATAAGTTGCCCTAAGCCCCGAATCAAACAAAGATTATGATGGAAAGCTTATTAGAAAAGAATAAAGATGATAGGTAACTTAAGGACCAGTTCAAATTGCTAATAAAAGCAAGACCAACACTATGCCATAACTTTGTTTGTTTCTAGAAAATAACTTGTAGGGGAAATGTTTTCCAAGAAAAAATAATTTTCTCGAAAATGTTCTCCTGGATAATAAGCCGCTAAGGCACTAATATATAATATAATATTTGGCCTACAAATGTATGGAGTAGAAAATAAGAAAGTTTAAGGAAATTTCTTGAAATTTTCAAAATAGGAAGTTATTATCCACATGAGTCTATAAAGTCAAGGAAAATGAAAGGAAAACATTTCCTGGAAAATGAAATATATTTTCATGATGGGGAATGGAGCCCAAGTATGTGAAGAACTTTAACTCAGGTGAAAATAGAATATGCAAAAATAATGCAAATTGGCTTGAACTAATATATTGTATATGTAACATATACCCCAGCCAAGTCATAGAGGATTGATCCAACACCTTCAAGATCTCTGGAACAGTCTTGATGCATCGCACATATATCCGGTGTCCTGTTTTACACAAACCAATGTTCTTGAGCATGTCAACTCATTGAACTACAACTTCATTGTATCACAAATCACAATTTAATGCTTGTTGATGTTACGCAGCAAAGAATTTTACCCGAGAACAAATGGGGTGAATAACTTTTCTGGAACTGAGTTTCCAAACAAGCCACTTTTGGCCATTTTAAGAATGACTCGTCGTACAATCTCTCCAAGATACATACCCGAAATTGTCTTCTCAAATATCTGTTTCATAAAACATGCAAAATCATGAAGTCTTAACCAATAAATTACATAAGCGGTGGGTGATTTATGTTGCATGGACATTATTAAGAAAAACTTGCCTGCTCACCAGGATTAATGCTGTCAGCATCCATTTCTCTATCAAATTCTGTCAAGGGAAGTCCATTTGAAAATGCTCCCCACTCTGTATTTACAACCTGAAAACATAACCATGTCAAAGGGTTATTTGTTTCAAGTTTAAGACTTGGGTTCTGACTAGTATGTTTACGTTTGGTCTAGTCTGAACTGATCTGGTTTGGTTTGGTTTGATCTGGTAGATGTATGGTTTATGTGTACTTTTACAACTATCAAAGTCAAGTTTGATCTGGTCTATTTCAGTCTGGTCTGGTCTATGACTTAAAATAAGTTCAAGTAAAACATTCTAACTATGAAAGGAGTATTATATTTGTTTTTATTAATAAAATGATTTTTCTTATAAGGTTACATGGTCAAATACAACTTCCTAAAAATTAAAGTAACAAATTAACCACTTGAAGACTTTATCAACCATTAATCCAGATGATGAAGAAGCAGACTGCTGATGTGAGAGTTTAGGAATGGAATCAGTGCGCTCAACGTAGCAAGCATTTGTTCCGGTTCCGAGAATGACAGCAACCAACACATCATCATCCCAATACCTTGCTCCAGCTAGCGTTCCCACTGTGTCATTAACCTAAATATATCAACTCTAGTTATAGATAAAGTGGATGAAAACAATGATTATAATGTTTAAATTATAATAACGAAGATTACATACCAAAGCAGATACTTGCATGTCTACTCCTAGTCTCTCCATGGCTTCATTCAAACAAGCAACCACATCTTTCCCCACCTATTGGGTGCAATGCCAAATTACCAATGTTAAGACAATATGCTTACATATGAAACTTCAAGGACTTGTTTGGATGGAGAGGAAGGTTTGAGAGGGCTTATTTTGTATCTTGATATACATATTTGATATTTGATTTTTACAAATATTGAAAACTAATAAGATATGCGATCATATACCATTTCAACCATCATCCTTTATAGAAATTTATAGAAATTTCAGCAAACATCATCCATACCACTCCAGCTATAAGAGACTCTAAGGGTAAATAGTTTGGATAAATAAGGCAGTCAACAAAAACCATGAGAATCTAGGGAATACTCACAGTTCCAGAGACACTAAACCCCTTGGTCCATTTGATTAGAATGCCAGAGTTAATAGAAGTCTGCTTCACGGGGAAAGAGAAAGTAAATCCTATTTCCCTCGTCCTTCCAGGCGGCATATGAAATTTCCCACCCTCCTTTTTTGCAAACTTTGCCAATGCAGAAGCAATGAAATCAAAAAGTTCCTGGACAGATTAAACCACCACATATTCAATCACCTAATCCAAGCCTGATATTCAAATTTATAGAAGTACTACAAAGCAAACCAACCTCAGAGGTACCAAACATCAGTTCTTGTGGTATAGACAATTGTTCAAATTCAGTGTCAACTACACGCTCCTCCTTCCCTCCCAATTGTACTCTTAGCACTCGGAAATTAGTCCCACCAAGGTCTAATGCATAAAACATCCCCTTCTCATTCCTTCATTATTCCAAAACACAACAATTAAGTACTATAGAGGGATTGAATATCAATTAGTTTTGAATAACCAGACTCATTTCATTTTAAATTGTTGTACTACTTATTAAAGAATAAAACTTAGGGATTGCAGTAAAAATTAAACTAAAAAGGTGATCTTTATATATTTTAAATAAAAGGAGAGCATAATAGCGCTTACCCAGTTGGCAATGTATCGACATAGCTGAGAATCATCTTCAGATCGCTGCCGCCATCCACAGCGAGGCCAGCCCGGACATCAGCCGCCATGGAATTTGCCACACGGCGCAAGACAGGCAGAGGGGTGGCGCATTCCTGCTCCAGCTTAGTCAAGATCGAAGCTTCTTCAAGGCTGACACCAGATCGGACGGCCATTACCACCCGCCGCCGTGACCTCATTTTGGGTGACGGTCGCCGGACGTAGAAAGACCCGACGACGCTGGCGGCTGCGGCGGTCGACATTTTGTGTAAGACTCCGTATCAGTCAACTGACAGTCACTCACAGCTAATGGAGTCGAAACACAATGAGGTAAGAATAGTATCAATCCTGAACCTGAATGCCAACTTTCTTTCTCTCTCTATTCTGTGATAGAAATTACTCCAACAATCAGAGCAGGTATTATTTTGTTTCCTAGATTATGAAAACAAAAACTTACCCCGAACTATCCATCCAAGATCCAACCATTGAGCAACACTTCTCAATTCATATTCATTGCTTCCACGGCCAAAGTTTGCACAGCAGGAAATTAACTCATTTTTAGTGAGTTTTTTGCCGTATGAAATTAATTAATTAATTAATTAATTAATTACGAAAATAGGGTTGGGTTAAAAGTATTTACCAATATATTGCTGGATTAACCATGGTCGGGGTAAGTCGCCCAACGGTTGGACGACTTATAAGTCGTCAAACGGTTTGACGACTATCAACCGTTGAGCGACTTTCCCTTAAGTAAAAACATCGACTAGCCCACACAAACAGAACGACGTAAACCCAGCCCCAAATCCACCCAGCCACAGCGACGAAGGACGAAGGACGAACGACGACCGAGCCATTTCCAACTCCAGCGAACCTCCATCTCCGGCGACCCCACTCCGGCAAACCTCCATCTTCATCTTCAACACTCTTTCTTCTTTCTGTAGGTAAATCGAACTTCATTTCATCTCATTTTGAACTTAGGGTTTTGAATGTTAAAATTTTCGAATTTTTAGATTAGGAATTGATTGTGAATTGAGTTGTTGTGAAATGTTGATATGTATGAAATGTTGAAATTTGATTTTAAATTGATTGTAAATTTGGGTATTGAAATGTAGACTTGAATGTAGATATCAAAATTTGGGTATTTTGATATTGAAATGTGAGTTGTTTATGAATTTTGACTTTTGGATATATTAGAATTTTGGTAGTTTTTTCTATTGAAAATTTGAATGTGTATAAATTGTGTATATTGATGTCTACTCATGATAGTTGGACAATGAATTGTTATTAGAATGTGGATTTCTCAAGTTTCCCAATCGTGTGTCATTGGGGAGGGAACTATTATGAGGATGCTCGACAAATATGCCATGAAGGTGGTATAACCACATTTGTCATGGTTTCTCGTTGTGCTTGCATGCTCGAGATCCTTCAAAAAATACATGCAGCCACAATGATTCATCGTAGCCGTTCTTTGCGTTTGAAAATGAAATTTCCCATAAACGGGGGAAAGTACATGCTTATGCCCCTCATTGATGAGCTAGCTATAACAAATATGTGGGGCATAGTTCAGATGGAGGACATGTCGACGCTGGAGATATACATTGAGGAATCCATATGTGACGCTTATGGTATTCCATCAACATCAAATGCTGTTATATCTAGACATTATGTCAATGCAGGTGTGAATGCAGGGAACTCCTCAAATGCTCCTGTACTGGACATGGTTATACAGGAAGATGGTAGGTATTTGCATAACGGTGTGTCATTTGTGGATGGGCAGGGAAGTGATGATGATGCTGACGACAACATCAATGGTGATGACATGATAGAATCTGATGAAGATGATGGTGATATGGTCACGGCAACTGCCCCGTCTAGCCACTTTACTAGAATGTATGATCTCCCTGAAAGCTTTACTGATGCGTGGATGAGTGGATCAGGTGAGAAAATGTTTACCCCCGAAGGTGAGTTTGAGGTCGGTCAACAGTTTGACAACAAAGAACAAGTCATCAATATGGTGAGCTTGTATTCTATCAAATGGAACCAATTTTATCGGGTGATAGAGTCCGATAAACACAAATGGGTGGCACAATGCAAAAGGAAGAAAGAATGTAATTGCCCCTGGAGAATATGCGCCACAAAGAACAAAGGCAACCTTGACACCTTCACAATTGTGCATTATCCTGGACCTCATTCTGCTACGTGTGTAGGAACACCGACACTACCGATCACGTGGCTTTGACTTCAGATTTCATCTCTAAAGATGTGATTGACATTGTTCGCACTGATCCTTCCCTTAAAGTGCATACTATCATTGAGATGCTGAAGGAAAAGTATGCGTATACGGTATCATACCGGAGAACATGGATGTGGAAGCAAAAGGCCATAGCAGAAATATTTGGCGGTTGGGAGAAGTCATATTCTGAATTGCCCCGTTTCATGATAGCGCTCCAACATTCAAATCCTGGAACTATTGTGCAGTGGTACCCACCCCATAATACTCTCACAGTTTATATGCAGTTTCAAAGAGTTTTTTGGGCATTCAAGGCATCAATACATGGTTTTAAGCATTGTCGAAACGTACTTACTATTGATGACACACACTTGTACGGAAAGTACAAGGGTACATTGCTCGTGGCCATGGATTGTGATGCGAACAACCAAATATTTCCATTGGCCTTTGCAGTTGTTGAATCTGAGAATGGGGATAGTTGGCCATGGTTTATGGCATGTATTAGGCAGTTTGTCACTAATAGGGAGTTGTGTGTCATTTCTTATCGGCATGGAGGTATTGTGAGGGCGATGAATGAGGTGGGCAGTACTTGGGAGGAGCCTTATGCGCATCATAGGCTATATATCTGCCATCTTGCATCGAATGTGCACACTCATTTCAAAGACATTCATCTAAAAAATCTTTTTGTCTGGACCGCACGGCAACATCAGAAAAAGAAGTTTGACGGTGGGTTCAAGAAGATAGGTGAAATGAGTTTGGAGGCACGACAATTTCTGGGGAACATTCCACCGGAAATGTGTTCATTGCACCATGATGGCGGGTACAGATATGGTACCATCACTTCTAATCTGGCAGAGGTTTTCAATAGCGTGATGAAAAATGCCAGATATTTTCCCATCACCGCTTTGGTCCAGGTTTCCTTTTACCGGGTTAATGCTTATTTTGTTAATAGACGTGAAACCAGTAAAATGAGAGTGACAGAAGGCCACAAGTACTCCCCATACACCACTCATTTAATTGATAAGAATAGAGAGAAGGCGAAGCATCACACAGTTACTCCATTTGATTTAGGCCGAGGGATATTTCAAGTGGAAATCGGTTGTGGTGGCCGAACGTTGGGGAAGGGTGAGAGAAAACAAATTGTCCATCTAAAACGGAAAACTTGCACTTGTAAAAAGATGGAGATATATAAGATTCCATGCTCCTATGTCTTAGCCGTGTGCAGACAACGTAGCTTGTCTTATGCTCCATTTGTGGATAAGTTTTTCACATCTGACCAATACGCGGCCACATATCATAGATTCTTCAAACCCATTCTTGATCGTGATTATTGGCCTACTTACAATGGACCTCAAATCGTGCATGATCCATCCATGCTTCGGGCTAAGGGAAGACCTAAGTCGACACATATTAAGAATGAGATGGATGAAGGTCCCTGAGGAATGGTTAGATTGGAAAATGCCACCAAACCGGCCATAATAGGGTCACATGTGCGACAAGAACGTCAAGACACGATAAGGGGTCCAGTGGGTAAGGTTTTAATAATAAAATGGATGATTAAAAAAAGAATTAGTATAAAAGTAAAAATTAACTAATATGATTTTGTTTGTTTGTATGCATGAAGGTGACAGCGGATCTTGGGCTGAGTGATCATTCTGTCCTGACATTGCAGGCCTCGCACAGGAGTGAGGATGTTTGATTTGGCCTCGATGTTCAGGTGGATAGGTGTCGCGAGCACCTGCGGGATTTGTCGCATATGCACGTGGACGAGAGAGTACTTGCATATGTTCGTGCTGCGGGTTTTTATGGTCTGCACATATTGGTGGCTACTGTCACTCTCGATAGAGCGCTACTCACTTCTCTTCTTGAGCGTTGGAGGCAGGAGACACACACATTTCACCTCCCTGTTGGTGAGGTGACAGTGACCCTGGAAGATGTTGATGTACTTACTGGACTACAGGTTGATGGGAGAGCTGTTACAGGCACTGCTTGTCGACAGTGGGTAGATGAGTGTGAGCGGTTGTTAGGTGTTCGCCCCCTTCTTCGGACTGACCTTCAGGGGTCATCCCTGAGGATGTCATGGTTGAGGGAGCACTTCCAGGTGCTTCATCCGGACGCTGATGAGGTGATGATCCAGCAACATGTGTGGGCATATATCTTGATGATGATGGGAGCCTCCATTTTTGCTGACAAGAGCGGAAATGAGATTCAGGTGTTGCACTTGCCTATGCTAGAGAGGTTTGATGTAGCAGCAAAGTTCAGTTGGGGTAGTGCCACGCTAGCTTATCTCTACAGACAGCTGTGGTGTGGCTGCCATAGAGGGAGCACAGAGCTTGGAGGATTTTTGCTACTCCTACAGATTTGGTCATGGGAGTATATCCACATTGGGCGTCCCCTTGTAATCGCATATCATGGCATTGATGGACACCCACTCCCTGATGAGCCTCCACATCTTCTGGGACCACATCATGTACGGGGCGAGGACCCTCTAGGCCGTCAGTATGTTTTAAATCGTTAGTATTTATGTTATTGTATGTTGAATGTAAGTATATTAATAATATCCATATTAATGAAACGGTTGAATGTAAGTAAAACTTAATAAATCTTGATAACGTAATTATTTTAGACGTACTTGAGCTATTCCCTATTTGGTCGGAACTCCTTGGGTTGCTAGGGGTTATAGTTGAAATCCTACACAGGAAACACGAGAATGAATTAAATGATATATTAAGATCTGGATTACTTCTTCTATAAGGTTGACCTTTAGGATGAAACTTTGGATCTTAACATGGTATCAGAGCCAAATAGATCCATGGTGTGGGTCCCCTTGTGAAAAATGATGACACGATTATAAAAATGACAATAACGAATCGATGAAAAAATGAATGACGACACGATACAAACGAAGTGGCTGGTCGTGAGGAGGGGTGTTGAATTCCTACACTGGAAATATGAGAATAAATTAAGTGCTATATTAAGACCATGGATTTGTTCATGTTAGTCGACCCCAAAATCTTTTGGGATTAAAGCTTGGATGTTGTTGTTGTTTGTTGTTGTTATTAAGATCTGGATTACTTCTATCAGGTTGATCTTTTAGGATGGAACTTTAGATCTTAACAATTATACCGTGGGTGCGGTGCAGAGTGAACATATTGCTCATTGAGTTCTACGAAATGTAAATCGTGGGAATCAACATGTAACATCAGGTTATTCAAAACGTAAATTACACTCATTCAAATGTAATTTGTTGAAATGTTAACCTACTTTAATTGAAATATAACTCA